AAAAATAAACTGGGTTTTGTCCTCGGCACCATCAACGGCCCAACCACAGATATAGCTGATGTACTTCTTTGAGATCTGATATTGCGACATGATAATGCCGTGGTGGATTCGTTCCATTGCTCAATCTCTCACCAGAAGTCTTCTTTATTGTGTAACGCCTATTGACCTGTGGGTTGAACTGGAAACCTAATTTCAGCGAAGCAACAAGACCAAAATGTTGAGTAATATGCTTAACAATTTGGGCCCTATGATGGAATCCATTATAATATGAAGAGTCCATCCCATTGACTGCAACCTGGCAGCCCATTCATTATATTTCAAAGGCTGGGATGAAGCCACGTGGAAGGGTTATGATCGTTGGATGCGTTTGATCGTTTGTATTATTGGCTTGACCTTTTCGTTTGGCCTAATTCGAGATTATTCGAGGGTTTTCTCATCTCTTGTTCTCTATGTTCTTTCTTACTGAAAACCTTTGGTTTTCTCCTATAATCTCTAAACTCTAGATATTTTTTGGTGAGATCTAGTGTTTGTAAGGGTATGGTTTGGGCGAATCTATTCTTGTTGTGATCAATAATTGTTGGTTACTTTATGTAATCGAGTATGTGGTTTCTTGGGATAGAATCTGGGTCAGAGGGCATTATCCTTTGTGGATCTGTTGTATTATGATACTTGCTTCGATTAATTGCTGGTTTCTAGTGGATTGGAGCGATAATCACTTCGGTAAATGCTCAACAGGTGATTAACCATATTTGAGTAAACATTCAGGCCTTAGGGTGAAAAATCATTTGTGTTTAATTTACATTCTGCAATTACTTTGTGTTTTTGGAACCTGTTAATACCAATAGTGGTATCAGAGCATTTCGACATAGTCAATAGTGAAAATGATCTGTCAATGCGTTGGTTCTTTACGAAACTTAGGAAAGTGATTGGGGAAGTCAAAGATCTTGCCTTTATAACAGATCTGGGTCAGTCTCTAATAAATGTTATTGTTGAATTTTTCCCCAAGGCACATCATGGGTACTGCATGTACCATATACAAGGTAATCTCAAGACTAAATACCGGGGCCAAGACATTGTTTCATTGTTCATGAGGGCGGCCGAAGCTTACAATGTTGAGGAATATAATAAGTTTATGATCAAGATAGGAAATAATAAGTCATTGTCGACATGTGATTATCTTACAAAAATGGGGATAGAATATTGGGCGCGATCACATTTTCCAGGACGTCGGTACAACTTGATGACGTCGAACAACGGGAGTCTCTGAATGCATTGTTCAAGAAGGATCGGAAGTTGCCAATTTTCGCAATGATTGAGAATATCCGTACTAAGCTGCAGTAGGGTGATTCCATCAACCTTCTATCCTATACTCAAAAATTCAATGTATTTTAATGCAAAAATGATGCAATCGCCCCTGCAATGGAATAATAAACGTGTTAGTTCGATAAAAATTAAGTTTCAAAGTTAAAAACAAAATACAAATACTTACGATCTCGATTGCTTCGCCGTCGTCTGGTCCCGCACAATGGCTAGCCTGTCATTAACATTCACGCCTGCTCGGGCGGCCATTCAATTACCTAAAATATTTAATTATATAA